TTTCTCGTTAGTAAAGTTTAAATATGATTTTTAAATTGTTTAAAACTTGGTCGATGCCCAAATTCAATTTTTTCAAAGAGCAAATGTCCAATTTGTAAGTAGCATGAAAGGCTGCATCTAATAGTGCATTCAGATCTACCCAACTCAAAAAAACGTTTTTCAAAAATCTTGATCAACGAAGTGTCACGTTACGTAGACAAATCGTAGTACACTATCTAATACTCATGCTCGTTTTGATAATCTCCGCTCTTCACGCAGACACTCATCAAACTAGACATTGGAGGTAACCGAATCGAAGATTCAGGAGCACAGCATATTGCAAACGCACTCACAAACAATCACGTTAAAGAACATTAATTCTTCATCTTCATGTTGTGAACCTCTACTTTTCTTACAGACTCTCACAATACTTGACCTTTCCACAAATGGAATCGGGGATCAAGGGGCAGAGTCCCTTGCCAGCGCTTTCTCTAACAACAATGTAATATACGACGTACTATTCGTTTTTTTGTTCTGTCTACCTTCAGTTTTCACACAGACACTCACAACACTTGATCTTAAGAATAATGATATCAGCGATGCTGGGGCACAACATCTTGCTGATGCACTAACGAACAACAAGGTCACACACCATATAATACGAATCTTCGTCTTTTCAATATTCACTTTTCGCATAGACACTCACTACGCTTAACCTTCAGTCTAATCGAATTGGAGACGCAGGTGCACAGTATCTTTCCAATGCTCTCACAAACAACAATGTAATGTACTATTTACTATTCATCTCGTCTTGATCATCTCCACTTTCCACACAGGCAATCACCACACTTAACCTTGGATATAATATAATCGAAGATACAGGTATACAACATCTTGCCCTTGCATTAGCAAACAACAAGGTAAGGCACCATTAAATACTCATGTTCCTCCTGTCAATGTCCACTTTTCACACAGACACTCACCACATTCAAACTTGGATGTAATCGAATCGGACAGCAAGGAACACAGTATCTTGCCAATTCTCTCGCAAATAACAAGGTGATACATCATTCAAGACTCATATTTGTCTTAGTAATTTCTACTTTTCATCTAGACACTCACCACACTCGACCTTAAGGCTAGTGACATCGAAGACACAGGGATACAGTATATTGCCAAGGCACTGCTAAACAACACAGTAGTACACTATTAAGTACTCATTTTTGTGTTGTCAATCTCTACTTTTCACACAGACACTCACTACACTCAGTCTTGAATATAATAAAACCGGAAACCGAGGGGCAGAGCACCTTGCCAATACACTGATAAACAACACAGTGAAAGACACTCTATTACTCACCTTCGATTTTAATGTTCAATTTTCACATAGACACTCACTGCACTTAACCTTCGTTCTAATTTAATCGAAGATGCAGGCACACAGCATCTTGCTAATGCTCTCATAGACAACAGGGTAACACACCATCTAATATTCATTTTCATCTTGTTAAACTCCACTTTTCACACAGACACTCACCTCACTCGAGCTAGAAAATAATCAAATCACAGACGAAGGTGCACAATATCTTGCCAATGCTCTCATCAACAATGCGGTAATACACTGTTTACTATACATGTTTATCATGACAATCTTCATTTTCCCACAGACACTTACCAAACTTGACCTTGGACATAATCGAATCACAGAGCAGGGTGCACAACATCTTGCCAATACTCTCGCAAACAATGCGGTAATATACCATTCATTATACATTTTTTTTTCATGCCAATATCCATTTTCTTCACAGACACTCACAACATTCAAGCTGGAATTTAATTTGGTCGGAGACGCAGGAGCATGGCATTTTGCCAATGCTCTCGCAAAAAACAGGGTAATACACCAATTGGCATTCATCTTTCTGTTGTTAATTATCATTCTTTATACAGACACTCACCACAGTCAACCTTGCATATAATTTAATTCGAAACACTGGGGCTCAGCATCTTGCCAATGCTCTGATAAACAACAAAGTAATAGACCATCTAATACTCATGTTCGTCTTGCTAATATCCAGCTATTACATAGACACTAACCAGACTCGACCTTGAATCTAATCAAATAGGAGACGCAGGAGCACGGTATCTTGTCAATGCACTGACAAGTAACACGGTAATAAATCATTTTCTAGCGTTTTTCCCTTTAACTATCTCCAATGTTCTCATAGACACTTGCTACACTCAAGCTTCCTCAAAATGATGTTGGACAACAAGAATGAAAATGACTGATGGGAATTTTGAACGAAAATAAAAACTGAAAGTGTCTTGTTGATTGCAGAGGATTTCGCTTTGGACAGTTGCTCTCTCATGTTCTTCATGATGCTATCTTTTTATAAGAATATTTTGTTTTTCAGTAGAAAAATCTGATGTAGCTTCTTAATTATAGGAATCTTTTTCTTGTGTAAGATCATCAGATACCAGATGGTTCAAAGTTTGACCTTTATGAGAATTTATTTAGATGGTTTGATTCAAAACTGAGTGGCCACAATCACTCTATATAAACGTGAGCGACGGTGGTTAACTATTGATATTACGTATTTGGAAAGTATTTTTGAACTCGTCTGCAGCGTATTTTCGGATTTTTTAGAATCGAATCATCGATTTTAAGTTTGAAACAAATTTTTGACGTTCTTATATTGTGCTTGAATATGTACATTGAAAAATTGAACAATGAAAATGAAAATCGATAGCTTTTTACATAATAAATGGTTGGTCCATTATTTCAATGTGATCTGTAACAAATAATATACTTCTCCATTAATCATTTGGTTATAATCTTATATTGCATGACAATGACATAAAGGAGCGCTTCATACGTGCTATACAAAGACGAAGGTAAAAAGTTTTGTACGAGAGAAAAAAAGAATATGGTTTTATACTCGGATATGGTCGACAGCATTGCAAAAGATTGTTGACCGGAACGTTTTCTTTTCTTTTTTTTTTTTTGTTTTATTTGTCTTGATTATATATCTCATATTGCTTTATTCGAAGATATTTCATTGGATCCCGACAATGGTAGACGATTCAAGATATCATTATATAGACCGTTCATAAAGAGTATTCATTGTTACAATTGGATGCAATCGTCTTCTAAATAATTTGTTCGAAAAGTAAAAATGAACAAATATTTCATGTTTCTATGATTTCAATTTGTACACTTTAACTCGTGCATTTTTAAACGTATTTGGAAAGTCATTCTATGTCGACTTCAAAACAAATATTGACTTCAGTTTTATTTCACAGTATGAAAGATAAATTTTGATATTATACATGTGTAAGATTCATTTTAAAGGCAAATTTATTATTAAAACATCATCGAGGGGACTCGATTAACTCATCGCATTCCAGCATTCATCGAATAGAGTTGGCGTTGAGTCAACCACGGAATTAACTTCAACAAGTGCTTTATTATGATAACGTCACAGTTAAATTTCAGCAAAGTCATTCCCCTGTGAAGATGCAGAATTGCTCAAAAATGACCCATCCATCTTAAATGACATAAAAAATTGAATTTATTGCTACTTTGAGTTTTTCATAGTTATGCAATTCTTTTATCTATGTATATAGCTGGAACCCTGCTTATCATGAATTTTTTAAAAATTAGTTCATTTAGGAGGATGATATATGATTACACCACTTCAAAGGCGGCTATTTTCAATTGAAAACCATGCCTTTCATTTCCAGGACCGTGTCAGTATAATTAGTACTGATTCCAATTCGAAAGTATCCATTCCTGTGGCTATAGTCTCATCCAGAAGGTATGCGATGATGAAAGCTGCAGGCTTCTAGCTTTTACTCATAAGAAGTTATTTAAAAATGATTGTAGAATGTTTTTTTGATTGACAATTAATATCAATTTCAAAAAAGAAAAAGTGTGAGTATTTCTTAAATAACTTTTAATCGAAAGTAAATAAAGAGCTGCGATTTTCACTGTTTGAAAGAGGAGATGAAACTGCATCGAATCGTGTAGACTAGATTTGTTTGACAAGTCTTTTCAAAGTCTACTATCAAGTTTGTTAAAAATAAAATATTGTTCAATGTAAAAGTTTTATAATTTCAATTTTCAGACGTGCACTAGAATTATTAACTGAAAATATATAAAAACTTCACCTTATAAATCTATTTAAAAATCTGATACTTGCGATTTGATGCAGTTTTATCTTCTCTTTTAAATAGTGAAACCCGTAGATCTCTATCGAGTTCCTATCAAAAGTTATGCGTAAAATACTCACACTTTCTCTTGTTTTGAAATGAGTATTAGTTCTAATAAAATTGTTAACATGAAGATCGTGTTAGTTTATAAGTTCATATTAAAAATAAAATAACTCTAGGAAAATCATCTTTCATGTTATTCACTAAGAATGGCTAAAAAATAATTAAACTGGTGATGAAAAATATTGCTTTCACACCTTTAATCAAGAGCTTTTCACAAACCACTCTCTATAAGTAAATACAAGAAAGAAAGAAAAAAAATTCAAATTTTTTTGAAAAACACCTTTTTCCAATTGATAAATCTTAGCCAAGAAATGATGAAAAGAAGATTAATTTTTTATGAGTTCGTAGCTTATCAAAAGTCTACACAATACCTGAGATTCGTCTTGATCCAACGCTTTATTAGTCCAAACAGGTATTTTCTATGAATGAGTCAAAAATGACTCAACAGGGGATAAATGCCTAAATTAGCTTTTTTTAAACTCTAATCATATAGGTGTAAGTGATATAAATGCAACTTCACCGTACTTTCCCTAGGCTTCCATTTGCGCATGAAGTACATGAATTATTGAAATGAATCATAGATAAAACTTATTAAAAAAGATATCATCCTATTTTCAATAAATTTGAATTTATCTACATTTATTATAACATATTTAACAATACACTATATTTCTTTTCATTTCAAAAAAAGTTAAACAAAAAGAAAAAAACAAACATTGTTTTTTTTCTGCTTTATTGCAACAATTATTTTATCCATGTTGAAATTTTTTTCTTTCATCAAGTATAGCTTGAGATAATGATTGTAAACATGTTTGAACTTGTTCTAAAAGATATTCTGCTAATTCTGTTGTTTGTTCTAATTTAGCTGTTGCTTCAATATTTTCTTGTTCTAATAATTCTAATTGTCTATGTTGTTGTGTAAGATCATCTTCAGTTGATGGAATTGTTGGTAAAGAATCAATTAAAGCAACAAGTTCACTTGTTGTACGTGTTATTAATGTTGCAAATAATTGTGAATAATCATCACCACTATTATCAACATTAGAATTTGTTGTAGATGAATTTTGTTCAAAATTTCCAAATCGACTAGGTCGTGCTGTTTCTTGAAGAACACCAGTTGCATTACATAAATGATCTGCTAATAAATTAACTACATCTTGTAATTGAGTTAAACGATCGGACATGATAAAACAAAAACAAAAAATATAATTAAATCTAAAAGAAAAATGATATAATATGAATCATTTCGAATACTTAGAGGAAGTCATTATAGAGAAAGAGAAAATTTAATGACATCATTTTTTTTTAATATATTTGATATTATTCGTATTGTATAAGAATCATTAGTTTGTCAAAATAAATATTTATTTTAATAATTTTGATCATGTCGTACTTTTTATTTTCGTGTATCATTAATATGAAATTTCAAAACAGAGTATTAGTAATATCTATTGAGTCATTCTCTTCTTGAGAATGTACTCTCAGAACAACGATATAAAAGCAAGTATTATGGCTGAAAAGAAAAAAAAACACATGTGACTCAGTACAAAGATGAGGTCAATATTGGAAAAAAACAAATAAAATAATATATATGGGTGAGAGAGGAAAAACCACTATTCATTGATAGCGTAGGCAGACAGCAAACGGTTATGCTTATACACGTAGAGGCATATCGTCGTAAATGTGTCGCGAGAGAAAATGAATGATATTATTACGTTCCTTTCTTAGGAGAAAGAAAGAGCATATGACGACTATATGACACACCTACTATTCTCAACAATATGTTTTACTATAAATTCATTTTTGACCTTCCTAGATAACAATAATCGGTTTTCTAAGGTGTAAGAACTTATTGATTCATAAGTTTCTTTTTTTCAAATGATTGCTCAACGACTTTTGACAAAGGTAAATATAAATAAAAGATTTTATAAAGAAAAATATTGAATATAATTTAGATTAGAATTTATAATAATCATTATCGTTTATTTTCATTTTCGTTAATTAATACAACGCCTGATGTAATTCGTCCAAGTAAGATTTATAATATTGCTCATAGTTATAAGAACAAGGTGATTTTGATTTTATTATGTAATGTCAATGACCTAATTCTAATCCAGAGAGTGATTTAACTAGTCAATCAAAAACTCTATCTGATGTACTATATGTCAAGTCTTCATAATTGGACTATGTGGAACATTTTTCTAAAAAGCTCAACACAGCAATTTTTTCATGCCTTAGAAGATATTATGAAAATTCATTTTAAACAGTACTATCTGATAGAACACAAAATTCAAGACAGAATGTTTAGTTACCACGTTTTTTCCTTACAAAAGTACGAGCGTCCAAGAAATTTATCCATAAATCGCTAAAAAATAGGTTATTTTGTAACTCGTGTAGCTTGGAAAGATAAAATCATAAACAACTCGATAACCTCTCATTTTGTTAATCATTTTTTGTTCTTTTAGATAGTAATCTTAAAAATAAAACTCGCATAATTTCTTCAAGGGTCTCAAAATGACCGTGTTGAGTTTTATAGAAAGCTTTTTTTTAGTATAGTTCAACTGTGAAATCTTATTATATTACACATCTGAGAAAGAATTTCATTGATTTTTTAAAGCATTATTTGAATTATAATTAAATACCCGACATCACAGAATAAAATCGAAATTATCTTTTTTGATGATAATTTTATGTGTAATACTTTATATAAAAAGTAAAAAATAATGCGATGTATTTATTAATATAGAATTTGAAATCGATTTACCAGGAGTAGAAAATTATGGTTTTGAAGGTGAATCATCATTTATGAAATGTAAATATGGAGCTGTTGCATCCGATTCAGAAGAAGCATCTAAAGTTGGAAGGTATGAATTATTTTTCATTTGATAAATAAATTCACTAAATGATTTTTCTACATAAAGACGTATTTTAAATTTGGGTGGTTCTGCGGTTGATGCAGCTATTTCTGTTCTTCTTTGTGTTGGTGTACATAATTGTCATTCAACTGGTATTGGCGGTGGATTTCTTATGAATATTTATGACTTGTAAGTGCACTCAATTTTTTTTTTCTTTTCAAACTTTACTAAGATCATTTAGTACGAAGAAAGAATGTATAGCTATTGATGCACGTGAAGCAGCACCATCGAAAGCTCATCAAAGAATATTCATCGATGGAGATTCACCACCATCATCAATATCAGGTAAAACATTTTTATAAAAAAGCAAATGATCAAAACGATCATTATATGAATAATTTTATATTAACTAGGTGGTTTATCAATTGGTATTCCAGGTGAAGTAGCTGGTTTTTGGAAAGCTCATAAAAAATATGGTAAATTACCATGGTCAGCTTTGTTTAAACCAGCTATTGATATGTGTAATGAGGGTTTTACTATACAAAAAGCTCTTGCTTTTAGTATTCTTAAAAATAAAGATAAACTATGGGCAGATAAATCAATGAGGTAAAGATTTCAAAACAATAAAGAAAGAAAAAAGACACGATGAAAAGATTTTATTTTTTTTAATGGTTTGTTTTTTCTAGGCGAGTTTTTTTTAAAGGTGATTCAAATCTTGTCTATGGACTAGGTGATACAATCTATCGACCACGTCTTGGTCAAACACTTTCAATAATTGCTGAAAAAGGACCAAGTGCATTTTATGAAGGTGAATTATCCGATGATATTTGTGAAGAAATTCAATCAAATAATGGAATTATTAATCGAAAAGATTTAGAAATTTATCATGCTCGAGTTAAACCAGCTATAAGTGTTACATTAGATAATAATTATACAGTTTATGGAGTTCCACCACCAGCTAGTTCAGCAATTACTTTACTTATTCTTAAAGTAATGGATGGTATGTTAGAAAAACCATGAAGTTTGAAAGAAAAACAAAAAAGTTAATTGACATTTTAGGTTATGGTTTAACACCCCAATCATTAGATACTGATGAAAAACAAGTGCGATTTTATCATATTCTTAATGAAGTATTTAAATTTGCTTACGGTAAACGATCATCATTAGGTGATGAATATGATTCGCAAACAGATAAAAATCAAGAAATTGAAAAAGTACAAAAACAATTTTTTTTTTCTTTGATGAAACAAAAAATAACAACATTTCATTTAGTTACTTCATTTAATTTTATCTCCTGAATATGCAGAAGAAATTCGTAGACGTATCAATGAAAACAAAACTCAACTACTTGAGTATTATGAACCAATGTTTGAACCTCAGACAGGTATGAAATTTACAAACGATAAAAGAAATATTACTTTGTTTTTTTCTACAGATCATGGAACTAGTCATTGCTCAATTATTGATGCCGAAGGAAATGCTGTTGCAGCTACAAGTACAATAAATACAGAGTAAACTTAAATTTTCTTTTTCTAGAAAACAAAAGAAAAAAGTTATGAATGAGACTTTTTTTGTTTCTAGTTTCGGTGCTGTTGTTTATGGACATAATACCGGTAAGTGAAGTTTTATATCTAAAAATGAAATGTAGAATTTTAATAATTTAAGGTATTATTTATAATAATCAAATGGATGATTTTTCTCAACCAGGTTCAGCGAATTATTATGGTTATGCACCAAGTCCAGCTAATTTTATAAAACCTTGTAAGTGAAATTCAAATGAAGGCGAGTTCTGAGTATTTATAACAACATCGAAGTAGATAAACCAAAATTTTTTCTGATAATAATTGAAATGTAAAAACAAAAAATATTTTGTATCGTTTTATTATTTCATAAATTTATGAAAGATTTATTAAGTTATGATTCTGATTCTTATGGTTGTATTCAAATAAATTGACTTTTATGAACAAAAACCGTTTGTATTGAAGAGTAGTTTCCAAAAACTTCATAAATTCTAATCAATAATGAATATATTATTATTATAAAGATTAAACTTTCAGAAAGACATACATTAAAGAAACAACTATTCCAAACAATTCTATTTCGAAGAAAACTGTCTATTGAATGCTATTTTAGTTAAACGTCCTATGTCATCTATGAGTCCAATTCTTGTAACTGATTCCAGTGGTGATGTTATTTTTACAGCTGGTGGTTCTGGTGGTAGTCGAATAATCTCTTCTGTTTCTCAAGTAGCTATTTATAATCTATGGCTTGGTAAAAGTATTCGTGATGCTGTTGATATGCCTCGATTACATCAACAACTTATTCCAATGGAACTTGAATTAGAAAAACGTTTTCCTGTTGTATGATATGAACTATTTCTTTTTCTTTTAGTTTTTTTTTATTTTTATCTAAATTTAGAATGTTGTTCATGGTCTTCTAGCAAAAGGTCATACAATATCAGGTTTTCGTGGTGGATGTGTTGTTCAAGCAATTGAACGTCGTCATTCAGATGAATTGTGGGCTGTAAGTGATGCACGAAAAGGTGGTGTACCTGATGGTCTTGGTTATAAAAATATTACAAAGAGTTTTCAAAATTGGATTAATCGAACATTTAAACTAAGTAAACAACAAAATTTACTCGAACAAGAAATTGTAAAAGGACGATTATTAACACCAAAATAAAAAACAAAAAAATCTTTTCTTTCTATAACTTTCTCTCATAGTTGCATACGTACATAGATAATTAATGTGTATATATATTCTTTCTCTTATTTTGTTTTATTTATTGTTTTAAATCGTTATTTTTCGTTTTTGTTTTCAAATTCGAAGTGAATTTTTTCTTCTCTAAAGCGTGACTAATGGATAAATAAAAAGTAAGAAAAAAAAAAAAACAAATTTAGTTCACTATTTAGCTTTTTGAAAAAGTTCATCCGATTTTTTCCAATTAGCAATTTGAAATATAGCTTTGACATAATCAGCACGAACATTTTTATATTGAAGATAATATGCATGTTCCCAAACATCAATACCAAATATTGGTACAAGACCTTAAGATATATCATGATTATATGATAAATAAAAAACAAAAAATAATTCTTTAAGTTTATTTACCTGTTGTTGCTTGTAATGGATCTTGATTTGCACAAGTAGCTATTTGTAAACGTTGATCTTGTTTATTATAACCTAACCAACCCCAACCACTACCTTGTACACTAACACTTGCATTTGATAATTGTGTAACCATTTGATCAAATGAACCATAATCTTTTTTTATCTGGTCAGCTAAAGCACCTGTTGGTTGGTTACCACCTTCTTTTGGACAAAGTATT